CTTTATTGGCCTACGTCTGAAACTGTGATGTTTTGATGGTGGGAAGCGGGTGTGAGAAAGAAGGGAAGTCCAAGAAAACATTGTTTTGTTTCTGACCCACCCTATCCCTTTTCTGATGTTCGCGGTAGTAGCCTCAATAGCTGTCATTTCCAAGAGCTGACTCGGCTCCATTCGGTGCTAAAGTTTTCCCTTGCTCTACTGCGTTTAATCCTGCGGATGCCGTCACTTCCTCCCTTTCTGTGGATGAGGAAACTGAGGCACAGAAAGGGAAGTCGCTGTTCAAAGCCTCGCGGTCAGTGGTGGAGTCGGGATTCACACAGGTTGTGACTCCAGAAGCTGCGGCCCTGGAAGGTTCGATGAGGGCAGCCCAGTCCGTTCCCAGCGCCAATGCTCCACACGAGGCTCTGAGAAATGCGAAGGCCCCACGTTCTCCCGTCCCGCAGGCCCCCAGATCCAGAGCAGTACTCCATGATCTTTCCCTGGAGGTGGCGAACTTGCCGCTTGTTCCTCTTTTGATGCATCCTTGCCTCAAGGATGTTTGCACGTTTCAAGTCCTGGCTTTGCTCCACATTAGCCATTTTCCCTGTGTAGGAGGCAGGAGTCTGCGCGGGGAGAGCCTGGATGGTGGGAAGCAACCTGGACTTTCTACCCTCTCCCAACAGAGGGAGAGAGAGAAACCAAATCTGAGAGTCACTGAGTGTTGGAGGGGCCTTAGAGGTTATTTCGTTAGGTTCTTTCTTATAAGCAACAAAGAACCACTCAATGATCTAAACTGAAAGGAATTAATTGAAATGACAGTGGGTGGCTGGAGACCCCGGCTTGGAGAAGAGGCAGAAATAGGGGCAGGTCGATAATGGGCAGGACCACAGCCAAAGTCACGTCCCACAGTCAATCTGGCGTTAAGTCCTGCTGCTCCCTGGATGCCACAGCTGGAGCCACCTCTGCTCCTGACGCAGCTGTCTCTGGAAGATGGATGAGGAATCCGCCATTTGCTTCTGCTCCTTTTTTAGTACCTGATTCAGCATTCTGATGCCTTCAGGTTACACCTAGGTCATAGCCCTTCTGACTGCAGGGGAGGCTTTTTGCTTTCCAGTGGGAAGTGATCCTGCCCACACACCAGGACTTACATGGCTCGGTCTCTGAACCCAGGAAGGAGATTAGATGCTGGGCAGCCCCACAAACCAAAAATGTCCACTACAGTGGTCATCTAGTTAAAATTTGTTTGCATCCCCTCCCCTCCCCCTGCCTTAAATTACAGATGAGATGCTGAGTCCTAGAGGGGAGAATGGCTTTCTTAATGACATCTCCTGTGCTACCACCAACCAACTGGATCCCAGTTGAATGGAGCACTGTTGGGGGATCTCAAGGCTTTGGCTGGCTGGGGGAGGAATGGGGGCGAAGGTTGTTGTGCTGTCCTGCACTGTGCTTTCCCACATCAGGCATTTCAAACAAAGGCACAGCTGTTTCTTGCTGGAAAGCCTGAGTCTTAGGTGTCTCTTCTGGCCACCCTGCCTTGTGGATGGCTAAACACACTAACGCCATTTCCTGTGTCTGGCAATTTTACTTTACAGGGTGAGAACATTACAAGGTTTAGCAAGAGGCTGTCTGTGTTTGTACTCTAGACTGGATGTTCCCACACCTAGCTGTGCTGAGAACCATCCAGATTCCTCTGCCTTGCTAAAGGCCTATATGGGCAATCTCCTGGGCATGGGCAAGAAAAATCTTAAAAAAAAAAAAAAAAATCTCGGGGTTTTTTGTGTGGCACATTTCTTGTGTGGCATTTGGGAACTCAATTCCCAGAACAGAAGCCTGTCTTCCATAGGTAGAGAAGGTTCCGACAGCTCTTTATCAGCTGAAGTCCACCTGAACCCAAGGATGCAGAATGTCCAGGCTTAGAAATAGCTGGGACATTTCTCTATGTATCTGCGTGTCTCGTGACATGGAAAACAATATTACAATTGCTTATGACACCTATCTTCTCTAGACCTACCAGGCTCTTAAGAGGAGCTCAGCCACATGCATCTGTGTCCTCTGCAATTCCTGGCACCTAGCAGGCTCTCGATTCACGAACATTTAGCATTATCCAAAGTCATTGTTCCCTCCACCAAACACCCAATACAAATCAGCCTTGAAAACTGCATGAATCAACTTGACAGTTGCCTTAGGAAGGTACTGCAGGATTGGAGCACTTCCCAAAACCTGGGTCTGATCAGAATTCCAGGGGACCTGGACTGTCAGAAATCCTTGGCCCGTTCTCCAAAAGGCCCAAGATAGCTCAGGCTTTTCAGTGAGTCCTTGTACCCGATTCCGTTGGGCAGCAGGCCTTTTGTGTAGGATTTAGGTGTTAATAAAGACAGCTAACAGGTACTTCATACTGTCCCAGCACCTTACATGTTAGCGCATTCAATTCTTACCACCTTACAAAGTAGGTCTTATTACTTTCTTTGTTCTACTCATTTAACAGGCCCAGAAAACAGGCAGCGCTAGAATTTGAACCCAGGCATTCTGGTTCCAAAGCACTCATTTTGTAACCACTATGTTTTTTTTTTCTTAATATAAGTTTATTTTTGGCTGTGTTGGGTCTTCATTGCTGCACGCGGACTTTCTCTAGTTGCGGCGGGCGGGGTCTACTCTTGTTTGCGGTGCGCGGGCTTCTCACTGCGGTGGCTTCTCTTGTTGTGGAGCACGGGCTCTAGGTGCACGGGCTCAGTAGTTGTGGCGCACGGGCTTAGCTGCTCCACGGCATGTGGGATCTTCCCGGACCAGGGCTTGAACCCATGTCCCCTGCATTGGCAGGCCGATTCTTAACCGCTGCACCACCAGGGAAGTCCCACCACTACGTATATTTGAATAAACAAGATTGTTTTTTTGGATATCCCAAATTCAGCTTTAACCTGGGCAGCTAAGACCAAAATAAACTTAGAAATAGCAATGACACACCTGCAGCCCAGAGGACCCAAAGGTCTCTACTTGCTGGCAGTGATCTGCTTGGCTTCCAGTCCACGCTGCCTGGCCTTCCTGGCTGAAGCCACTTACTCCCATTTGTCAAGTTAGTGGCCAGACATGCCACCAGCAGCTGTGTTCTTAGCACAGGAACCTAAGGAGGCCTTCTCTTTGTGCAAACGAACCTTGTAGGTGGTGCTGCACTGACCTCGTTATCTGATTCTAGTGACCGCTCCCTCACATTTGAATCCTGGCCAGGTCGGTCAAATCTGGTTGTCTGGATGTCCCTAGGCTGGACCGGCCTGCCAGCAGAATTTCACATAGGACTCCCAGCAAGTCCTGAAGTAAGCCGTTATCATAGTAAGAACAATCTTTCCACCTTCTGTTTATATACTTTTCTCACAAATGACACAACAGGCACTAGACACACTGAGACAAGGAGAGCCAGTGTGGGGCACACAGGCATCCAGAACTCAAAACCAGGCAGACCAGGCAAGGTTAAAGCATATTAATAAATGAGATATGATGTTGATGTAATTATTTAATGACAGGAAAATAATGTTATGAAACAAGATGGTTACAAATAGTGGGTAAGGATGACTTACTACACCTTTGATAAAAAAACTTAAAAAGTATGTATACAAAACACTGGAGGGTTATGTATCAAAATATTGGTAGTATTTACTTCGGTTCAGTGATTAAATATTCTTCTCTTTGCTTTTGTGTACTTTCTGAAACATGATTATTTCTGAAACAAAAAAGAATAGTTACTAGAAAGAGAAACAGTTATTAAATGCCAGAAGTCCAGCAATCAAGGTCTGAAACCCAGGACATGTCTAGCTAGGGGGACAGTGGTTGAGCCCAGGGGTGGAACAGTATATTATTCTTTCCTTTTCCTACTGCAGTGCTGTTTACCAGACTGTTTCTTCTACATTTGATACTTATGGAATCTATAATTATGAACTGGTACAACAGCAAAATAATGCTAGCAACTTTGGTTTTAAATAACTACAAGATGTAATAACCATTCTGTAGTTACAAAACACACTAAAAATAAAACACAAAACACACCAGAAATCAGAAGTTCCTACAACAAATAACCCCATGTGACTAAACCACTGACTTCGTTGCTTATTCTGATGTGTGTTCATTTTCAATTTTCACCATAAATCTATTTTTGTTTCATGGATCTGAAAGAGGCAATTTTTCTCAAAAAGATGCTCTGCCTTCTAAGTACTATGAAGAGTTGGAAGGGCTCACCAAACTCCAAACCACTTCAAACAAGTTTGACTGAGGAGTGTCACCATTCTCTGTGCCTTAAAAAAAAAAAAGTCTGCTAAGTTACCAAATGGAGAACAGCAGAGTATTATTACACCTGTAAATGAGGCTCAAAACTCTCAGATCCCATCCGCACCCTATCCTCCATGTCAGGACTGTTGGGCACTTTACTCAAGTAACAATGACAACCCGTACTTCTTCCTCTTAAAAAAGTAAAATGGAGAAAGGATCATTGTTTTAAAATCCCACATATAAAAAAAACAGTGCCACCTTTAACCGGAGGTGCTTCTTAGGTATTTCTCAAAGCCCTCTGCCCTTTTACGTGGCAGCATTTTCAGGAGGGGGTCAGAAAACTACTGAAGTAAGGTCCAAGAAACAACCAAAACCAAAAATATAAACTGAGATAATTGCAGCTGTCCAGTGTCACCTGCCCTGTCTGGCAGGCTGACACAGCACACTAAGCCATACAAACCTTCAGACACCAGGAAGGAAAGGTACCAAAAGAATTACACTAGAACAGTAACCAGGTTTGGGAAAAAAATATTTAAGCTTAAAAACATTCTATCATCACAAAGACTAAGAAGATCCCTTGCTTTGCCCTTGGCCAATCAAGAAATACTGAACTGTTTTATATCTCCAAAGAGACCCACTGGAAATATCAGTGCCAGCGCCCCAAGTCAATTCACACTCTTGTTAGATGAGTCCCAAAGCCTACGGCAACAACAATTCCTTTGTTAGAGCAAGAAAAAAAAAATCCATTTCAGGACAAAGGCGTGTCTTCAGTGAGAGAACTGCCTGCCGTCAGATGGTTTCTTGCTTATGTGCTTGAAGATCTTGGACTTCTCGACTTTTCTGGCTTTCTGGTAGCCGAAGCCACCACCGCCGCCCCTTTTTTTAAGTTTGCCGTCGTTGCTGTTCACATCTAAAGGGGGACGTTAAGGAAATCAAGCAACACAAAGACAAGGAATCCAGTCTACCGTCTGCAGAAGAACCAGCCAGCTGTACCCCAGGGGCCCCACCACCCCTCCCCAGGCCACGAACACACACGAACATTCCAGACAACCAGGAGTGGCCACGTGACTGTGGACTAAAACTCACAGGACAGACCTTTAAGCCCAGTGTAATACTTGTATTTTTCCACGCAATGAAGCCGAAGAGGTAAATCGCTAAGTATGTAGGAACACATTAAGAAATACTCCCAGTGTCAAAACAAAATGACTTTCACCTCTGTTGGGAGCTGACTGAGAGGTGCCTGACCAAGTGGAGTTGCTCTTCCTGTCACATGGGGACTCAACATGTGTTCACAACAGCAGACATTCACTCGATGCTCATGATGCGGATGGACACCCAAACTGTGGTCCTCCAAGTCCCCTTGGGAGTTTCTACCACAGTGTTAATGAGCAGGCCTCTCTAGCTGGCTGTTTCTTCTGTTGAAAATGTGTAATAAAACACATATTACATATCATAACAGAAGCAACTGGACGTGTTCCCTTTGTCTTTTATCTTGAGTAGCACTTTGGTTATTTTCTTTCACTGGTCTTGCAATTTCCTTGCATGAAATGCTTAAATGACTGAGAGGATAAGAGCCCTCCGAGAGGTTCCATCTTGTCTTCAGCTTCTTCAAGGTATCCCGCTCCTCTGTGTACCCTGTATAGTGAAGCCACACAACCACCAAGCCCTGCCCCTCTGAGCTTCTCCCCAGAACGTACAACTCCCCCTGCTCCGTCTGCCACTCAAATTCTGCTGTCTTTTTTAAAGCCATGAACTGTGTCGCCTCTATAGTCTCCACCCTGACCATTAACCCCTGCCCACCCCATGTGAGCACTGACAAGAGGTCAGTGACCAGTTTGAAGGCCTGGGCCCTGCAGGCCTCAGCCAGAGCAGACACACCAACCCAAGTGCTAAGCCCCAAGGCCCCCAGTCAAGCTTCTGTCCCTTAATGCCTGGACAAATTCATAACCGCAAAGAAAAGGATACTCAAATCAACAAAAGGAGGCACCTTGAAACCAAATGACAGAGCAACCTGAGGCAAGTTTAAGTTATTAACATTAAAGATCTGTTTCAGCGAATGGGAATCATACGCTCGAATGTATGACTTATACGCTTCCTGGGCTGACTTATGAAGGAAGTAGTTCTTTTCAATCAGTTTTTCAAGCTGAAACAGAGAGAAATATTGCTTTTAATGAAATAAAAAAGCACGTCACATAGAACATTTGTTCCAATACACTTGCTCCGAGCTCTGTAATATCTGCAAAATCAGGCTGCAGTTAAAAATAATGACAAAATTCTTGTAAGATATGGACTGAAACAAGGTAGAGAGCTCTGGAATGTGGTCACCAGCACAACAAGACACCGAAACTATCACTCAGTCCAAACTTCTCACTTTATGAAAAGGGAGACTCAGAGTACAACTACTGTCAATGAGACACTACAAAGGTGGGCTGGGATGACCCTTCCTCCCCCTCTGCCCTGCATACCTGAGACTGAATGTCAGAAATTTTGGACCAGGAAAACTCAAATTCACTTAATGGAACCTAGAAAACAAAAGCACGCAGATGAGTAAAGCAAGATGGCTCTGCTGCAGCTCGTCAGGCACTGAAGAGATGAAAGGGGACAGGCATGTGGGATCCCATGGGCCAGACATCTGCTTGTCTCCCAATGTCAATGGGAAAGGCTTACCTTCCCTCTGCTCACTGCACAGGAATCATGCTATGGAACCCTCTTGAAAGAAAAGGTGAGAAACTGGCAGGGGCAATAAATCACTGAAGCCCTTTTCTCTAAACAAAGATCTCTGTGGATGCAACGTGATGAAGCAGCTTGAAGCTTCCAGCTGAAGGAACCACTAGCCCTTCTCTCCAACACCACACTGCCCTGTGACTAGGTCACAACGATCACAAACTCCTACAGGAAGGGTATTTCTTACCAGTTCTAACTTATTAGATGACTGGGAAAGTGCGAGACCGGTGCTAGATGCTGGGGGAAAAGAACAGTTGCCCGAGTCACGGGCTCTGCCGTCAGGGAGCCTGCAGCCTTGGGCGGAGACAGGTAAGTGATGAGACAACTTGTCGAGCACCCGCGCTGGGGGGACATGAAGGAGGGCAGGGCCTCCCAGAGGAGACAGCAGCTAGCGGAAGCAGAGGCTATCTGAGAGCCAGGAAACAGGCATCTGGAGAAAAAGTGCAAGGGCTGATGGCAATCCCTAGGAACTACTCCACGATGGGGGCAGTGGGGGAAGGAAAATCCACCAGGCGACACTGTGCCAGTGAAGAGGCAAATGTTAGGCAAGACAAGTCCCGACAAGCATTCTCACGACCTGGCAACAGAGAGGCCAAAGCCCGATTAGGGCGGACTGGAGACCAAAATCAGAGGAGTTGAAATATAACCCACTTTTCAAAACAGCAGACTGAGGAAAGGCAACAGGCAGTAGCCATGCTGGACCTAGTGATAGGAGAGCAGGTTTAGGGTTGACGTTATTTTTTTGGTCAGACACTTGAGATGGTAAAGAGCTAACTGCCAGGGAGGGACTGAGTCAACGAATAAGGGCCTGAAGGAGGAAGAGGTAGGAAGGAATGGGTTCCCTTGGCCTCGGGCGAGGTGCAGACACCAGGGTGAAGACACGTGGAGAAGGGCTGCAGCAGGGGAGCAGAGATGACCGGTGTGAGGGAGCTCACTCACAAGGAGTGGAGGAGGTTTCAAACACGGCTTTGGGGACGAGCGGAGACTGGGGACGGGATGCACCCTGTGCGACAAGAGCTCAAGAACGGGGCCTCGAGGATAATTTTCTGCTCACATTTCCTGGGGGCGACCCACATAAATCTCATCTGCTAAACTGCTGTAACAACTGTCCGAACAGCATGGTGATGACGCAGGACTCCTCGGACACACCTAGAAATGGTGCTTAAGGCCATGTGCACCGGTAATGAATTCCTCTCGAGAGCAATCTGTCCCCAGCTTAAGGTTTTCCAAGTGAAGGTCTTTACCTTGGATTGCTTCAAGTAGCGAAGGAAACCCAATTCTTCAGGGCGCAAAATGAGCAAGGCATGCCCTCTGCCGTTCAGGCCTCTGGCTGTTCTACCCACACGATGAATGTATTCCTTTGGTGGAGAGAGAAAACCTGAGGTAATACACTGGTTTCCATGGCAACCTGTGGTGATCTGCATGTCCAGAACTCGCACGGTAGTGGACGGCAGTGTGCCAGCACATCAGTGTGAGACGGTGCCCACCTCCACCTAGTGGTGCCACACAGCCCGTGACCATGCTCCCCAAAGCTAGTCCCCCATTCCTTCTGCAGGGAGCATCCCCACAGAGGTAAGAGATCCATGCCCGGGGCCAAGGAAAGCTAGACAGAACATTCACATTAATTCTATGATCTAATCAAATGACTATTAAGTGTGCTTCACTTCAAAAGCTTCAACTTCAAAAGGGCTTTGGGAAACATATTTAAATGCTGGCTGATAATTTATATAATCTATTGTTTGTTGAAATACCCAATAAAACTTATTTTACTACACATACTAAAGCATGGTGTCTATCTCTGTAAGCAAATTTTATTTCCTTCTGACGTCTACTGCTCTTAACAGATCCTTCCAAACTTAAGTGCCACGGACACCTCTCAAATCTCCTTGCACACACCCTCTTTGGGTCCTGCAAAAGCCCTAAACACTGTCAGCATCAGAGAAATACTGCAGTCACTGCACATTAAAGGGATATTCTGTGGAATGTGGTATTTGTCAGGGAACCTTGGGGTCATCCGGAGGGTCATACTGAACAATCCAGTCCACTTCAGGAATATCCAGCCCTCTAGCTGCCACGTCTGTACACAACAAGATCCCCGAATCTGCATTGCAGAACTGGAAGAACGTGGTTGTACGCTTATTTTGTTTCTGCCTTCCCTAGAATCAAAACAAAACATCCATTGGAACAGAAAACTTGAAGTTGTTTGTGGGAGGTCTCGATGTAGAATCCTCAAACTGTGGAACTATTACCCTGCTTTATTTCAAGTTCATAACCTGTCCTATTTCCTCAAGGGATGGCGTCCGTTCCTCCTTTCTGGTCCCCACCCCTCCACCCCCAGCAAAGCTCCCTCCACACAGGATCAGCCACCCACTATTGCCCAAACTACTTAGAACTATGTTTGGAGGAGAGAGCAATACCTCAATCCCCACAATCTATATAACTCGGTAAGTGTAACCTGTTTTTAATAAATCATAAATAAATATAAGAAACAATAATAAATCATAATCACTTACATGAATGGCCAAGACAGGCAAATCGATGTAGTTCAGCAACTCATAGTGGTATTTCACGGACTTACACGATGAAAAGAAGACCATTAGTTTCTTCTTCCGGTTCTTCTTAAGGAATGTAAAGAGTAGGAGGAATCTCTTTTCGGAAGGACAGACAACATATCCCTAGGAGAGGTTCAAGTGAACAGACACAAAATAATCAAAACGACATTTTCAGCTTCATGAACTAATATAATTTGATGGAGAGCACAGATTAGTACAGCATATACACTGTTATGCCTCACCTACAGCAAAATTACTGCCTTCATTATAACAATGTATTCCTAAAATAAGACTAATTTTAACTCTTGATTCCTTTTATTGGCCACAATCACTGGATACTAAATACTTTCCATATTTCTGAGACTACTGGTTATTAAGTTCTTGTAATCATAATATACCAATACCTCTATTAACTTGAACCATCAAAGTATATCAATGATTCATTTTTAGAAGGTCCTTAACAGCAAGATCTCAAATAACCACAGCCTTAAGTGCACTGTCCTAAACACGATAACAACGCTGGGAGAATATATTTTTAAAAACTAAACAAGCAATGAAAGGTTTTTAAGCTAAAGTGTTACAGGAGACATATCATTCATCAGAAGACTCAACCTTACAGCTCTATTTTTAATCAACCTAATCTGGATCTCTGTCACCTCATTTCCACAGCGAGGCGCCTGAATCTAGCCTCTCCGCCTTCTAACTCACCTCACATCTTAGCGCAAGAGATGATTAAACAGCAAAATGTTTTTTACTCATCTAAAATTGGCAGTGATATATTTAGTTCATTAACCCATTTGCTTTCTAGACGATCCTCCAAACACTTGCAAGGAAACACCAACGATCCTTAAAATTGAAGGTATTGACAAAAAGTACCTGCTCAAGACCGTCCACGGTTGCATGAGCTTTATCGTCATCAACACCAACATACAAGGGCTCCTTTTTCAGAGAAATCCTTGCCAGGTCTTCAACTTTCCGAGTTTGTGTGGCAGAAAAGAGCATGGTCTGTCTGCGGGCTGAAACACACCCACATAAACATAACCCAGATCCTTCAGGGAACCTTTAGAATTGCTTCACAGCTAAAAACGCTCTCAGTGGAACTATCAGAAATGAGAGACATGGTATCACTATAAATAGTAAGAAAGGAACACCATGGACAACTTTATGTCTAGACATTTGACAACTAAGATGAAATGGATAGCTTCCTTGAAAAAGAAACTGCTAAAGCGTGCTCAAGAAGAAATAGAAAACCTGAATAGCCTTGTATCCATTAAGGAAATTATAGTTAAAATCTTCATATAAAGAAGACTCCAGCCCCAATGGCCTCTGCTTGTGAAGTCTATCAAACACTTAAGAAATATTATCAATATTTCACTCTCCAGGACATTGAAGAGAGCTTACTTCCCAACTCATACCTTTTACAAAGTTTTAGCAAAGAGAATCCAGAAATATATATATAAAGGATAATGCATCGTGACCAAGTGGGGTTTATTCTAGGAATGCAGGGTTGGTTAACAGTTGAAAATTAACCAATATAATTTACCATATTAACAGACTAAAGAAAAAACATCTGATCATTTCAATAGACACAGAAAAAACATGTCAGAATTTAACATTTATTTCTGATTTAAGAAAAATCTTAGCAAACTAGGAACAAAAGGGATCACCCTCAGTCTGATATAGGGCATACAAATGTAGAGCACCTACAGCTAACATCATACTTAATGGTGAAAGACTGAATGCTTTCCCACCTAAGATCAGGAGTAAGACAAAGATGTCTTCTCTTGCCAGTTCTATTCAGGATTATACTGGAGGTTCTGGCCAGCTCAATCAGGCAAGAAAACAATTAAATGAAAAATTTTATCTCACAAAGATATGAAAAAACCTGTACACTGAACTCTGAAACACTGCTGAGAGAAATTAGGGAGCTAATAAACGAAGATCTACCTCATTCACGTGCTGAATGACTCAGCATTGTTTTCCACCAATGATCAATATTCAGTACAATCCCAAGATCCCCAGAGATTAACATACTGATTCTAACATTCATATAGAAATGCCAAGGACAAGACCAGCCAAAACAATTTTGAAAATGAACAAAGTTGGAGGGTTAACACTACCTAATTTCAAGACTTAACAGGAGGAACTGGAAATTCCATACACTGCTGATGGGGACATAAATTGGTACAAGTTAAACATACACCAGCCACTCCATTCCTAGGTAAAAGGAGATATATGCCCACAAAAAGAGTTGTAGATGGATGTTCATAGCAACTTTATTTGTAGTAGACCGAAACCGTTAACAACACAGTCGTCCATCAACAGTTAAATGGATAAACAGGTTGTGGCATATTTATACACTAGAACGCTACTGAGGAATAAAGCAAAGAACTACTGATATGTGTAACGGCACAGACGAATCACAGAAGAACGTGCTGAGCACAAGAAACCAGACTAAAAGAGTTACACTGCATATGAATTCATATGAATCCTTGGAAAATGCAAACTGATCTACAGTGACAGAAAGCAGATCAATAGTCACCTGTGAGAGAGATGTGCATGGCAGCTGTTGGAAGTAGGGGACGGTGAGAGGGAGGGATTACAAAGGCACACAAAGAAAGTTTTGAGGGTTATGGAAATGTTCACTGTATTGACTGTGGTGATGGTTTCAAGGTGTAAACAGGACAAAAACGTATCAAATCATACATTTAAAATATGTACAGATTATTATGTTAATTATACCTCAATGAAGTATTAAAAAAACAGTTGTATAATGTACAGAACTATGGTGTTTTTATAGCTATAAGCAGTTTACAATGTTTCAAGTACTATAACCAAGGTATGTACCACTCAAACATGACACAGAAAGCAGCAAGTCGATGGCTACCCAGGAGATGCGAGATGGGGTGGCGGGGACGGACGGGAACGAGACGTATGTTAAGACTGTTCAACTTGCAAGGCAGCCTCTCAAATGGCAAAACCACTGCATTAAGTCACTAGTGAGAGTGATGCTAATGTTGCAAACTACATCTGAGGGTGACTGGCACAACCACTTCACTTGCTAAGTTAAAATTCTGACATTAGTAGTTTTCATACAGGAAAAACTCTCATCTACTTCCAACAGCTACTTGGCAAACCACATGCAGATGCTACCTACTTACTTGGCAGAAGTTTAATAATTTGCTTTAATTCTTCTTCAAACCCAACATCCAAGATACGATCAGCCTCATCAATAACCAGACACTGTAGGTTTTTATACATAAACCCTGGTGTATTCTGATAAGACAAAAGACAAAGAAAAACTGTTATCTGTCAAGTTTATGTTTCACACAGACAAAAGATAGGGACAACACAATAGTGTTCTCTTACCTGCATATGGTCCAGGAGACGGCCTGGTGTGGCCACAATGACGTTGATCCCATTGGCAAGCTTCTGTGCTTCAGCAGATCTGTTACTGCCACCCATTATTAACCCATACGTGTGAACATGGTGTGTCATCAGCTCCTTAAGGACACCAAAAGTCTGCATGGCCAGTTCCCTAGTAGGTGAGAGAATAAGGACTCCTGTTCCTAAAAAGCAAAACAGGATATACAGTGAAAGTCAAACTGTAGTTATCACCAGGAGTCCATCAATAGCTACAATAGACTTCCAGTGGGATACTGGCAGAAATAATGGGACCACAGACTTACCATTCCTGGGCATGAACTTTAACTTAACAATGAGTTCAACTGCAGGAATGAGAAATGCCAGGGTTTTGCCACTGCCTGTTTTTGCAGCTGCCAAAAGATCCCTAAAAAATAAAAAGGAAAAGGAGACAGACATTTAGTCTACTCATTCAACAAGTACCATGTACTATCACACATGTTTTAGGCACTGAGGCTGGATCATAACAAGAAAAAAGTCCCCACCTTTTCTATCACTGAAATCAAGAATTGTGCTAAAAACAGAAGTGAACAATTTTCTCCAAACATCAGTGAATAAGCTAAAGCCTTTAACGAAGGTTGGGTATGTTACCCAACACGGTGCAAGATCAATAGAACATACTGGTATCTTCTTTCCAAACTACTAGCACTAAAAAGAGCACTAATGCCCAAACCTCAATGTTTATCATACCTGCCTTCCAGAAGTGGTCTGATACTTTTATGCTGAATTTCAGTCATGTTTGTAAAGCCCATTTCTTTTATTGCCTTCAGAGTGTTCTCATTGACAAGATTAGTCAGAGAATCAAACGAAGTATCCTCAAAAGCTCCTAAAGAGAAGACAGTTTATCATTAGCAAATTTATCTTTTCTTAATAGTTAATATTGCTAGTTTCCTAAATTAGTTTTGCTGATTGAAAACATTACTGGGTTGGTGTCAAGCTTAGAAGAGCTTCTTCCAATAAGAAAAGAATAAACCCCAACCATTCCTATAAAAAAACCTTATACTTTTGAAGTTTCTCCACTGCTAATGGCCGTGTGATGTAAAGTCCAGAGCCTATACTGTAACAAAATAACAGACGGAGGGCTTCCCTGGTGGCGCAGTGGTTGGGAGTCCGCCTGCTGATGCAGGGGGCACGGGTTCATGCCCCGGTCTGGGAGGATCCCACGTGCCGCGGAGCGGCTGGGCCCATGGGCCATGGCGGCTGGGCCTGCGCATCCGGAGCCTGTGCTCCGCAACGGGAGAGGCCACGGCAGTGAGAGGCCCGAGTACTGCAAACAAAAACAAAAACACAACCAAAAAAAAACAGACGGAGAGGTGGTACAGTCAAGGGACGTGTATGAAATGAAAATGCCAAGGTGGCGGGGAGGGGAGAGGAGAGAGACGGGGGTGGTTTGCAGGGGGAGAGTTCAGAGTGAAATGAAATGTTTAAGAAATGTGAAATAAAAAGTGAAAGCATTCAGTGTAATAAAAACTGAATATGAAATCAATCAAATAGTAACTCTCACTCCAGAAAGACAACTGAGAAGAGTCAGATGTAGCCACAGATGTTTAGACTGTACCCATATATCAGGTGTGCTGTGGTTCTCCAGCAGGGGGAGGCATCAGGATCAACCAGGAGCTCCCAGCCCCACACATGCCCTGGCTATAACCCAAGTTTTGGCAACCTTGACACCACTGACATTTTGGGATGGATAAGTTTTTGTTGTGAGAGGCTGTCCTATGCATTATAGGATGTCCTGCAGCATCACTGACCTCTACCTACTGGATGCCTGTAGCCTGCCCCCAGTTCTGACAACCAAACATATTGGTGGCCAACCCTCATGGTTTGCCTGGGACAGAGGTTTAAGTGATGCAGGATTTTGAATGGGAAAACTGGGATGAGCCGGTCACCCTACCTGGGAGGTAAAATTACCCTGTTTGAGAACCACTGCCAAAACCTTTGCAATTTTGATTATGGAGACTGGGTGCTGGGCCTCAATTATTTTAATAAACAAAAAACCCAAACCAAACAACCCAAGCAACTGCTAGACATTTCTGGTTAGGAGCAACTGATCCTAGCCTAAACGCTTCACTTTACAGGTAAAGAAATAGAGGCTAAAGGAGGTGACTCTGGCACAAGCCCCTCAATAATGTTTCACCCTTCTCCTTTAGTAATGGAGCCAGTATTGAACCTCTGGGCTCCAGACTTCCGGGCCAATGATTTTCCTACTACAACATGGAGTGAGTTTTAGAAAGTGACAAACCAAAGGAACAGAGGACCCCAAGAACTATTTGTGTGCATATCAAAATATTTAGTGTTAGAAATAAAGAAAAGGGAAAAATAAACAACAAGAACTAAGGCACACAACGTGGATGATAAAAAGCAATGGTTAGATATAAAACCATTTCTTGCCAATACTTATTTTTTCCAGGTAAATTAAATGCCACAGCTGAACCTTTAAATACTATAATCCAAGGAGGCATGACATTTTAGAGAAGATCTATTTGGAAAACATTGATAGCTACCTGTCAGTCCCAGGGGCAGGCTGGGCACCATGCTGTCATCGTCCTCATTGTCTGGCTTCTCCACACTGTTCTCTGTTTCTTCAGGAGCCTGGGCACCATCTTCAGAGTCTCCTGTGTCTTCAGTTTTTGCTTTTTTGGAATCTTTGGATTAAAGGACAAACCGCCCCCCCCAAATTTTTTTCTTAAAATAAGAATACCAAATGAGACCACAAAATAAAAGATGTGTGATGCAAAAAGGCATATTTTCAAAAGCTTAACATATTTTCAGTTTTAATTTGCTAAGAATCTCTTTTTCCTGATTAAAAAATCTGGCTATATTAAAAAACCCAGTGGGACACAAAGATCTGCCAACAAACTTTATTTTTTAGGCTTCTTGATACATATTCTTTTACTGAAGTATAGTTGATTTACAATATTGTGTTGGTTTCAGGTATATAGCAAAGTGATTCAGTTCTACACACATATATGTATATAGACATTCTTTTTTAAAAATTATTTTTCATTATATTGAATACAGTTCCCTGTGCTATACAGTAAATCCTTGTTCTTTGTTTTATATATGGTAGCATGCATCTGTTAACCCCATACTCCCAATTTATCCACCCCCCTCCCCCTTTGGTAACCATAAGCTTGTTTTCTGTCTGTGAGTCTGTTTCTGTTTTGTAAGTTCATTTGTACTATTTTTCAGATTCCACATATATGGGATATCATATATTTCTTTCTCTGTACGACTTACTACTTATACATTATACCATCTTAAGTGAGCAAGAAATTTTTTATAAGTTGAACTAAACAATTTAAGTATGTTAATCACACCCAGTTCTATAAACTTTACTGAGGGAAAAAACAAGGGCAAGTCATTAACGTTTTTTAAAAAAAACTTGTAAGCACCGGTTTTTCCTCCTATGCCATTAAACATAAATTTTCTATAAAAGCTAATTTTGTTTTAAAGGGGAACAGAAACATAAAAGGCTCTTCATGTTACTAGAGGCAGACTACAAATCAAGAGCAACAATCTACTTAGCTGGGCGACAGAAACTGGCCTGTTCCTTGAATGTAAGTGGTGAGGGGAGGAGAGGGAAGGCCTCCTGGCTTTTCATTTCTACATCCACTTTTGTAACATAGTCCCTTAAACTACCTTTCCAGTCTTACCTCCCATCATGCTCTTAAATGTTCCACTCTGGGCCAAATGGGTTAACTACCATGCTGGGCTTTTACAAGTTTATGGCAGTTAGTGATGCTAGTTAGAACAGAATTGATCTAAACCAGAACTCAGGACTCTTTGTAGCCCAGGACTGGCCTCTTCCTTGGACCTTACTACCACCCTTCTGGGAAATGGTCAACACTGCAGGACCCACACGTTCAAAGGCCATGGATATTATCGGCTTATCGGGTCTTCAAGGCTTATTACTTCTGTTTTCCTTAAAACAGTTCTTAAAGGTTACCAATAGGATTTAAACTCCCAGCCCTGTGATTCAATGCTTGAGAGAAGAAATAATATCACTTCCTTAGGCATACTCAGAACAAGAATCCTAAGGGCACTAATCATTTTAGAATAGGATTACAATCACTTTAAATCAAAACTGTAATGTCTAATCCTCATGCTTTTCTCTATCTTATTTCACTTTTTGTTTAAACGATTTCTCATAACTTACAAATGTATTATAGCCTGTAGGTAGTAAAAAGACAGCCATGCATGTTTGGAAAATTCAAAGTGTCTTTCTAAATGAAACCTTTATTTCAGACAAAAGATGAATAGGATATGCTAACACAAGTGCTGGCAAACTTCTATAAAGGGTCAGACTGTAAACATTTTAGGCTTTGCAGGCAATATGGTCTCTATCACCACAAAGGCCAACTAAAAAAATGGGCATCTCAGTGTTCCAATTAAGCTTTATTTGCAAAAATAGGCAGAAGGCTGAATAGTTTGCTGACACCTGTTCTATCTTGTCTTGAAATCTCTGTTTGCTCACATTTCAATTAAAATGCCTATTCTTTCACCTAAGCTTATTCAATCCAAGAATCTTGCAAAAGAAAATAGCCCTGCCTCCCCAATCCTGGCCATTCTACTCACTTGGAAATTAACGTTCCATTTATTCAGAAGTTTCCTAACTGCTATTTTATACACTTTGCATATCCAAATTATCACTAAGTTGCCTTTCAAAGGTAGGAATTTATTGTAGGAAAAAGGAATGGGGCAAAAAAGACGTAAATGAAAAGAATCACTAATGCAAGGTCCTTGACACATGAAGACCCAAGATAAATTCTACTAACAGCCCAGATTTCTTCAGTGTCAGTAATTCCACAATTCTCTTTGGAAACAGGTAAACCTGAAATATTTTCCATAAGATCTTATAGAAAAACCCGAATGAACTTTTTGGCCAGCCCAATACTATGTCATAGTATGTTCTGTTTATCATAAAAAGCTCAGATAGTTAACTGCCAAAGAAGAGCAGTATTTTGAAAAAAGTTAAACTGCAGTCCCCCCCCCCCCCCCCGGCCCCCTCAATGTTTGCTTTAGATACCAGGCTAGTTTCTCATATGCCAGTAAGTACAGAGGAGTCTTGCATGTCATGTGGACATAAGAAGAAGAGAGGAAAAGCAGAATGATAACTTGAAAACCTGAATAGCTTAAGTTCAAAGACAATACATACCAGGCCCAGCATCATCCACTATTTTTCTCTTTTTCTTCTTCTTCTTCTTCTTTTTTGATTCTGAATTGGGAGACTGCACTGCTGCTTCCCCACTGGTCAGTGTGGTAGATTTCTTAGAGGATTTAACTTTTACATTTTCCACTGTTTCTTTAGGTAAGTCTCCATTTTTCTTGGAGGATTTTTTAACTTTTACATTTTCCACTGTTTCTTTAGGTAAGTCTCCATTTTGGGCTTCTGACCAGCCTGCATTCATAGACTGTTTTAGGAATTTTTTAACTTTTCCACCTACTACAGCTTCTTTAGAGATGTTTCCATTTTGGGTTTCTGACAAGTCCACATTCACAGACTGTTTTAGGGACTTTTTAATTTTTCCACCTCCCACTGTTCTTTCAGACACATCTCCATTTTGAGTTTCTGACAAGTTCACAGCTGAGGCCCCTGTTTAAAAACAGAACACACATATTGACAAAGAAGGAGAGGTTTACTTAGAAACACTGGTATCCCAAATGAGAAATGTCATGGCTTCCAGGACTGAAATGATTTAGTTTTTACTTTCCTGTCATGTATATTAAGACAACTTCCAATTTTATAGTGTTCTACTGCAGGACAAATAAATTAAAAAAAAAAAAAAGGGAAAGCCACGTTGATTTTTTAACTTCAAAAACCACATCTCTGTCCCTAAGGAGTTAAAAGTCTGGACCAGGAAAACTTCAGTGAGGTTAAATAAACAGATGGGGCCAATGTTACTTACAAGATATACATTCTAATATTAGGTATCTGACAAATATACTTTCCTAGACATCAGTGAGTTGAAAATTCTGTTGATGTAACCACTTATTTGTCTTGATATTTATCATATATAAATGCCTAAGACTGTCTTTACAAAAGTTCCTGTTTATATACAGAAGAAGCACCATCTTCTGTTACCTTTAACTAAGAAGTAGTTAGCAACGCTTTGTTATTCTATAGGAAATGGAAATATAAGGGAACTTCAAAAACATTATTCCTAAAACCCACACACCTCTTCTCTCCTCCAAGATTTCTTTCAATCAACTAATCTCTGCAGAAAACCTGCTAGTGTAAGGCATTATGCCTCCAACACTGCCCTAGGGGGCTTCTGTATTATACAGGACCGAAAAAGGTTAACATAACTTCAGGATGTCTGACCCACTGTCAGGAAGTTAGGACTGCAAATGAGGTAGGTAAAGAAAAGTGACATTCAGGTAAAATGCTTTTCATGGAAGTCTTTAAGGATGCAAATACGTAGAAGCTCTTACGAGATTTATAACCTAAAGTTAGAGGTGACAGGAAGCCAGGGCATGAGATTACGCACATGCGTATGATATGTGCAAAAACACTTTGGGAACTGAAAATGATGAAGTTCTTCAAGAGTCGAAACAGAGGGCAGGTGGGTAGGGGAAGGCAAGGGTATCAGGAATGTTCTGTGAAGAGCGACACCTAGCTTGTTCTGAAGCGACAGAGACATGAAATAGATGTGAAAGAAAGATGCGGGGAGGTGAGACAGTCCCACGGGACTGATTGGAAATGGGGGTTGGGGATGACCCTAGAGGTGGTGAGGAAGTCAGAAAGGGAGGGTGGAAGTGAACTCTTAGAGGCCTCCTGCCCGAACTCTGTAAGGACAAACTGCTGCTCAGAAAGGGCAGATCTGGGGCCACGCGGAGAGTCGGCATCTGCGTGGGGCCCGACGGGAGGCCGCCCCGGCCTGCCTTTCCACGCTCCGCAAGCACGCGCGCTCTACGGGGACGCTGCCAGCGCTACATCTGGGCCGCAGGGCCTCCCCACCAGCGCCGCTCGGCCGCTCGGCCGCTCGGCCCCGCGGCCGCCGCAGAGCGCCACGGCCCACGTGCTGGCTTCCTCCGCAACCCAGGCCGCCGCGAAGCTCAGCGCATCTCACCCTGGAGCTTTAGGTTTCGCTGTCGCAATTTGAGGTTCCGCTTCTCGATCTTCTTGCGTAAAAGTTTCATCGGTAAATGAGACATGTTGCCGGTGAAAGGCCTTCTCGGCGGCGCCACAACCCGGCTTCTCTGCTCTCCCCCGTGACGTTACTTCCGTTCCGGCCACCCGAGCTCAGTTCAGCCAGCCGGAAATACGTCACAGGAGCGCTCGCGGTCGGCGGAGCGGAAGTGGGTCCGGAGCGGAAATGCTTCCGGGCGCGTGCGCCGTCTTGCCGTTGGAGAACGGATTTTCTGCAGCGCCCTCTAGGGGAACGTAGGACTGGCCCTGCACTCCTTTCCTTCGCGTTGTGCCCGAGCCAGCAGAGCACTGGGGACATTTGGTAGTTTGAGCTTCTCCCGGGAAAGTGGGAAAAATCAAGGCCGAGCAGAGGGCCTTAGGGAGTCTCCATTCTTATGTTCCTACCCTCTTTGGATCCTGGACGATTTAAGTTGAGTAGTACCTAAATTTCGTAGATGTGTGTTTTCAAACTTGTTTGACCACTCTCCTTAGTGAGAAATACACTTTCCATGTCACTTGCTACCCAGTAATCCACACATAAATATAACATTTCTCAAAGCAATACCCTAACTCTTGTTTCATTTTGACGTTTTTCCTTCGATACCATTTATCCCATCCTAAATTCTGAGTCTGTTAAATATTCTAATTAGAATGCATTTAAATTGATTTTACTACTCTATTAAAGGATTGGCTGCAGTTTGAAAAATGAAGGTTTATAATCCCCAAAGCTCATACCCACAGACCCTTCAGAAGTCAGGACAGAAATTACAATCTGGCTGGCCAGTAGACATTTTTGTGTGTGTGGAAGAGGGTACATTAAAATAAAATGCTGCCAACATTAAAAATTTGGGATAGTGGGCTTCCATGGTGGCGCAGTGGTTGAGGGTCTGCCTGCCGATGCAGGGGACACGGGTTCGTGCCCCGGTCCGGGAAGATCCCACATGCAGTGGAGCGAATGAGCCCGTGAGCCATGGCTGCTGGGCCTGCGCGTCCGGAGCCTGTGCTCTGCAGCGGGAGGGGCCACAGCAGTGAGGGGCCCGTGTACTGCCAAAAAAAAAAAAAAAAATTTTGGGATAGTTCTTGTAGAAATTCACATTTTTCTTTAAAAATTGGTCCTTATGGGCTCAAATTCCCCTTGGCAATAATCAATTTGAGCTGAACGATAATTGGAAGGGTTAATGAAAGCTAGAATAATTTGTTCACTTGAGTGGCAGAGCATGAGCTCATAGGGATTAGACATAATCATAGGGAGAAAACTTGGGAGGGAGTTTAAACAGAATGTAAATAAACTGACTGAGAAATCACATTGAATTGGACTAGAAATTGAGACAAACCATGATGTGCTTAAGTTGTTACTAATTCGGTGGGTTAACAGATGAGTCAGAAATTTAAACTGGCACACACGCACAGACACACACACCCACAGACACACACACAGGCACACACACACAGACACACAGATATACATACATACATACACACATATCTCAGTTTAAATATATATATATGGCAGTTTAAATTGATATATATCAGTTTATATATTTGCCTATATACACTGTATTTTTTATATTTAAATTTTTTTTTGTATATTGTGAAGTTTAGACATCTTAAAAAACTCTTTCTGGCTGGAGAGAGATTGCTCCTCCAGGGGCTAGCCAATTTTTAGAGATAGCAAAAGACTCAGCCAGGAGCACGTCTTTAATATGCAAACTAAGTAATGCAGAGCCATACCTCCTCCATCTGGCCCGTGTACCCCAAGAGGCAATATTCCTCTGCCTTAATCATCCCAGGGCCAGGTACCAAGCAACTATAGACCACTCCTATAATTTACAGCCCACCTAAATTATCTAAATCAGTCAACTGCAAACTGTTTGTTTTGCCTTGCCTTGCTTTTCCTGAGGAACCTCCAATAAAGGCTGTGGTCTAGGCTCCTCCCTTGGTCCTGCCCCTTCTGCCTGTATGGGATGCTGGTGCTTTTCCATGTGGCCCTGCATGGTGTGGCATGCCTCCTCTTTCTAGTACCTGTGAGTATAATAAACTTTGTTTTCTTGAGCCTCTCCTGTGTCTCCTCTTGTGGTCATACCTGACTATCAACATGAAAGAGCACAGAATATACATACATATCTAATTCTCTCTATATACACATAAACATATATTCACATGATTACACACCTGAATATTGGGTCTGTGACTTTGAAATTCACATCCATCACTCTTAGGTGCAACATCTAATATCTTCCATATTTTCTTAAGGTACATGGAAGTGCTTAATTTTAGGGATTGGCAAGCTTTCAGTAGCCACATATAAGGCTATTGATGCCATTTTTTCTAGACTTTTAGGAAAGGGATAAGAGATGATAACCTTGCATTAACTCTCAAAATTGGGGGTAGGAGTTTTAACAGAGTGAATTTCCGAGGCCAGGTCTGGTGAACAAATGAGTATCACTGGGTTGGACTTCAGAAAATATCTGTGGGGTTTGGAGAGGTGGCAATTAAAAACATGTGCCTCTGAAAATCTTTTTGTCTCTCACTGAGACAAAATATCTTAATATTTTGAGCATATCTTAATATCTATTTAGTATATGTTTGCAAAAGTCTTTAGAACTTTTTGCCTTGGTTCCCCATCCCAGATGTTCCTCTCCCCAGAATATATTCATTTCTCAATTATCAACTCATTTAGCAATTATTTTCTGAGCATATCTGTGCTATGAGTATGTGATTGGTGTGTGCTAAGTTCTCAGAATAGAACTGTGGGTAAGATCGATGTGGCTCGCCTTTGTGGAGCTTACAGAACTTACATGGAAAACAATCATGGTAAACTGTGCAGTGAGAAGGGAAGCACATGACAGGACCAACACTCTAGTCTGGGAGTGGAGTCCTTCATTCAGTACCCACTGTGCATGTGCACCGGGCTAGAGGCAAGGCAGAACAGGGAGCGGAGCTGATGTCTTTTACCTGCCTACTAGAAATATTTAAATTTAGTATGGACCATATTCCTTACCCATACCATTCTTTCAGTTTCATTTGAGATCCTTAAGGCTTAGACAAGTGTTTGTATAATAAAAAGGAGATTTGTCCGTACAAAATTTCTTCTCATTCAAAAAAAAAAAAAAAAGCTGCACTTCACTGGGAAAAGAAATCAGTCTATTTCACAAACCCCTTAGAATTTGTCAGAAATAACTGACTCACTGTCTAATCACTGCATTTGGATGCTTGACACGTTTTCCTAGGGACTTTTGAATGCTATTTTCTACAAGGTTAACCACCTTTTAGTGTGTAGGAAAGTGCTGCATTACTGTAAGTAAGTGGGGTGTTGCACCCTTCATGTGGCTTGACCCTGGTTCTCGGTATTGTCTTAAGCAGATGGTAGGTGCTTGAGAAATGTCTTCTTCAATGAACTGACAGATATGAAAATGAGAGAGCATTTTAGGGAGCATTGCCACAATTCTCCAAGTCATGATTCTTGCAGTGGTTCTCGGGACTAGAGTACATAACCTTTCTCCAAGTGTATTCATTTGTTATTTAAAATAATCTACTCTGTTCCAGGTACTGTTTCGGGCCCTGGGAATCAGCAGTGAACAAGACAGGCAAGGTCTTTGTTTCCAGGGAGCTTAGTGCCTAGAGAGGGGAGACAGATATTAATCAGTTAAACAAGTGAGCGAACAGGTAACTTTACATGGAGCTAAATGCTGGAGAGACATTAAAACAAGATGATGTCATATAATAGAGAGAGATGGATAGGAGGCCAGGGCAGCATGCTACTCAAGGTGGGAGGTATTTTTGTGGAGCCAAAGTCAGCCATGCAAAGATCTGAGGCCAGAGAAAAGGCTGGCAAGACAAGCCTTAGTATTTCATTAAATAACAGTACAGGACCACAAAAGCAGCTATGCAGGGGAGAGTCCAGGGCTTGGACCAGGCTTGGGGAGGGAGGCTTGAAAAGGTATAGGAATTGGTTTGGGAAAGTGAGAACTTCAAAAAGACACCTTCCTTTGACTACCTGCCCCCTGAGTCCTCCAGTCTGACCACTGATGACAGAATCATAGACTGACCTTTGCTCATCCAGTACCTTGTGGAAATAAGAGTTCAGAATTGAGATTTACTTTGATACACTTTTTATTTGGCCTGACTTTATTTATTTTTAAATTTTATTTATTTATTTATTTATTTATTTATTTATTTATTTATTTATTTATTTATGGCTGCGTTGGGTCTTCATTGCTGCGTGGGGGCTATTCTTCGTTGCGGTGCACAGGCTTCTCATTGTGGTGTCTTCTCTTGTTGTGGAGCACGGGCTCTAGGTGCACGGGCTTCAGTAATTGTGGCTCGCGGGCTCTAGGTGCATGGGCTTCAGTAGTGGTGGTATGCAGGATCAGCAGTTGTGGCTCGCAGGCTCTAGAGCTCAGGCTCAGTAGTTGTGGTGCATGGGCTTAGTTGCTCCATGGCATGTGGGATCTTCCCAGACCAGGGCTCAAACCCACGTCCCCTACATTGGCAGGCAGATTCTTAACCAGTGCACCACCAGGGAAGTCCTGGCATGACTTTAAATTTACAAAAATATTGCAATGATAGTACCTACCACTCAGCTTCCTCTTATGTTAACAGCTCATGTAGCTGTAAGACATTTGTCAAAATTAAGACATTAACACTGGCAAATTACTATTAACTAAATTACAGATTTATTCAGATTTCACTAGTTTTTCCACTAATGTCTGTTTTCTGTCCCAGGATTTTTGCCATTTTCTAAATAATCCATGTGAATAAATAAAGGTAGTGGCTACCAGCCAGAACCTGGTAAGTTCTACATCTTATTTCCTAGCATGTCATTTTTACCAGTTCTTTATTTTACAAGTGAAGATCTCTCCTCCTTCCATGCTTACTTACCCTATCTTTCCCAGGGTAGTGTTGTCATAGTAATTTTAACAAGCACAGGTCAACTTATTTCCTTAAAAAATTTTGAAAATGGGCCACTTTCAGAGAATGAGTTTAGGGAAGCAACTGCTACTCCCCAACCCTCTACCTAGTTGCT